GCTTGTGACAAAAATAATTGTGTGTGTCTCTCTCTCACTCACATACACACACACATACAGAGTCCGTGTCATCCTCTCTCTGCTGATGCTACTGTTATTAGTGATTGCTGATGTCGACATCCCCTGCTTGTGAGCCAGTAGCACGCGCACATACACACACACACACACATACACACACACACACACGCACAGACTTGCTGGTCAGAGTAGTTTTTCATCCCTCAGTCAGTGAATCAGACTTTGCCTCTGCAGAAACACACACACAGTGCTGAACACTGTGTCTGAACTTGAAACTCACCAGTCTGGATTTTCAGACACACATCACCGTGTTCTCAAAAACACAACACAGGTTTTCAGACAGACCTGAACTCCTAGGATCCAGGTCTGGGGTCCACATCTCCATCTTTGTTATGGATCAAGTGCATCTTAAATTAGGTGGTGATAAGAATGCATGTTTATGAGGGTTTCAATTATTTTTGATGCTCTTAGCCAAGTGTGTTTGGAGAAGTACTACGGTCACCCTGATCTGAAGAAAGTTTAAGTCTGTTTGAATAAATGTGCAACATGACTGCAGCGTTTCCTCTGCTTTCCAGTTGAAACTCAACTTGTTGTTGACCAACACGAACAGTTTGTTGTAAGAAAGCACTTAAAGGAACATGTGTGTGAGGCTCAGAGCTTCAAGGACTATATGTTTTTGTTATTTTCTTTAAAGGTTTTGAGTCATCCAGCTCATAGTTACCAAAGAAGGTTAAAAATATAGGGGCAACTGGACAACACTCGAAGATACTCAAAGACTTATGGTCTTTGAAGACACCAGAGGCCAACTCTGATTACCGTAAAACTTAAGCCCCTGACATACTTGCTCTTTAACTATTGTGTAGGCATAGACAGCCGTCAGCTAAGCAAACGGCATTGTTCCCTTACTTACCTGCGTACTTTGCGTGTACCTGGAGGATTAAACGTGAATGTGTGGCAGCCATCTTGCGTACGTGAACGTCCCTTTCACTGGCCTGTTGTTGGCTACACCTTTTTGACAAATAAATGCAGAAGCGTGGTCTGAATTTTAGACTGCACAATATAATTGTTTAAACTTTGGTCAATATAGACATGCTACACATCGTTACATCAGTTAGATTCTCCACAGTTCAGTGGTTCAGTTCATTTTTCGGGAACAATGAGCACCAAAGTAGATAGTTTAGATATTACTTACTTTCTTTCTTGAATACTTAAACATAGCAGCTCATAGTTACTCTTTTTAGGTCACTTGCACATACATGATTAACAAAGCAAGTATATATTGCAGAGCGACAGCAAGATGCATCTTACCGCCAAAAAGCGCCTCAGTGTGATTGGATCTAAAACAAAGAGGAGAAAACCATTGCAAGGCAGTTTCCTTTTTAGGAGTCCAGTTAGCCAATCAAAAAGCAGCAAATTACAAATGGTTTACTATAAATTCCCAACTTTTAAATATATATATATGATCATAAACTAATGAAACCTTAAATAATGGCAGTAAAGTTTACAATATTTTCTTAATAAAATAGTTTCCTATTTTCAGTTTTTCATTCATTACAATAATCCTATACATCTGCTTACAGTGGAGTTAGAAAAATACTTATTAAGTATTATAAGGAGCTGTACATGAGTGATGTTTTCCTCAGCGGGCTGTTTGAGGCCAGAGGCAGCAGCTGATATCTGACAGCTGAATTGTGTTTAACTTAATTAACGTCACTCTGCCTGACGTCAACACACTGTTACACACACTCTGTAACACAACACCACCACACCACACTAGATTAAGCCAAAACACTGCTACAGTACTGACGTCCCAGCAGCACAGGAAGACTATACATATTGGCTGTACCCAGGCAGGATTCAAACCAGCAACCTCTCTGGTTATTAACCAACTGCGGTGATATTAAAGCTGATGCCACCGATATGAACCATCACTACTTCTTTGTCTCATTTGTTTAAAATCCACACTACAGGCTGATTTCATGTCACGTTTTTCTCTTCAGCTCGTGAGTTTTTGTCAACCTTTTTGTCCTGAGAGAGCCTCCTTTCATCGACACATCACTCACTTACATTTGAAAGTGTGGGAGAGAGTGGCTCTCCTGATGTCAGTAATAATAACAGCGTGATTGTTGAGTAGCTAATCAACGCACTACAGAGTTAATGAGCCCATATAAGAGGATAGTCTGTGTGTGTGTGGGTGTATTTGAGAGAGAGGTAACCCCAGAAAGAGCCTGATTTTGTTCATACAAACAGGCAAAGATCTGACACACCCGTTAAACCTCACTGTTTTGGGAGGCTTACAGAGACACACTGGAGGTGAAACACACACTCTGACACACACAAACACACACATGCACAGGCTGAGAAACAGACACACACACGCACAGACACACGTGTGTCACGTAGCCGGTGTCACATCGAGGATCCCCTTCTTTCTGGAACAACAAGCAGGGAGAGCGGCTGCTTCTGCAAGGACGCACACACATAAATGCACTTTCAACACACTTTGAATGCAGCGAACACACAGACACACACGTGATGTAAAGCAGAGAGAGGCAAACCCCGGACGAGCTGAGGTCTGCAGAGAGAGAGAGAGGCTTAAAGGATCAAACCACGGGAGCAAACAGCTGAGAAAAGTGTTGTTCAAATTAGTCAAGAGTTTCCTGAAGTTATCAAATCAAGACCAAGCTGCAGGTCTGTGTTGGGCTACTCGTGACTTTGTGTCAGGTTGGGCCCTCACTGCTGCGTCACATGGCTGTAACAATACAGAAAAAAAATGGATGTGTTATTTTTCTAGCTGCAAACTGCAATTGTGAAGACCTGTGGTGTGAGAACATGAAGCTTCTCAAGGCAGCAGGCGATCTGAGCTTGATCCAGCATTGTGGGAAAGCTTTTGTAGTGATTTGCCAAAAACCAATATGTCTTTGTCTGCAGAGCGTGGGACTCCTCTTTAGATTAAAGCTTGCCTTACAGATACAAACAGATATAAATAATTTGTTTATAGTGCGCAGCTTGGCATAAAGTCACGTAAAATGAAAAAGTGGTTTTGTGCTTGCAAGCATTAACAGGCGACATGAGAACAGAAGAGGACATAGAATTTTGTGCTTTCAGTGTGCTGTAGGCTTTTCAAATGGGAGTTGTTAACAGTTAACGATTGGACTTGCAGGATGCAGTGTGTACACGTTTTAGCCACAAATGTCAGCATGTTAGGCTGGTCTCTAGAGCAACGGGATGCTCCACCAATTAACGAGCAGCCATAGTGGAAAAGAGCAGCAATACATGTCATGTTTCCTGCACTTCACTGTCTGCCTCAAACAACTTTGTTTTTCCCATTGGTGATCACAAACCTGAGATCTGCAGCAGGAGACCAAAGCTCTGCGAGGCCTGACTCAAGTCCTCGGTCAGGTCTTGTTTACTGGAAACCGAGTGCACCCGTAATCTTAATGAAAACTGAAACCCGGTTACAGTAGTAATAATATGATTCTTCTTGAAATCACTTTAACTCCGTGTCTCCTGCGCTGAATAATTGTAGCCTTCATGCGAAAAGTTTGTGCGGTAGCGGAGCAACTCTGTGCTTGTACTCCATGTACTTTGTCAGTTCATAAAATCCATTAAAGTGTGTGACAGCGATCCCACAGTAATAAACCCTGAATCATTACTGTACAAGACGCCACCTGTTCGAAATAATGCTTAAATCAGTTATTTTTTTATGACCTCTTTGTGACAGAACATAAATGTACACATCAGAAGAATTAAAGTGCGGCATAAACTTTAATGCTTTTAAAACATAAACTACTGTCAATCACCGCGTTTGATTTCCCCACGTGGGTCCTGATCTGTCAGTCTGCATAATATCCTTTTATTTTGTTTGGAAAAAGCCATTGTGAGCATGAAGTGGACCAGATGAACCAAACTACAGGCATCTGGCAGCCTGTCCCTTGCTGTTTTTCTTACCAATAAAAAGTGCCGACTGTATAAGGGCCCACTAGACGACCTCGTCCCCACTGCAACTAGCCATCAGCTCCGCGCCTGCATCCATGCTAATATGAGCATAGCAGGTCATTGTGCTGGAACGTCCCTTTGGTTTTCAGCAGCTGAACTCCTGTTGGCTTTTAAAGAACTTGTGTACTTCAGCTGGAGTTATGTGAGGTGACACGTGTGTGTGTGTGTGTGTGTGTGTGTGTGTGTGAACCTAACCCAGTCTGAAATGTCCTACCCTATGGCTAACTCTGCCCTTCATTTAGCTCTTGTATCTCTGTGTGTCTATGTGTGCGTGTGTCTATGTGTGTTTATGTGTGCGTATGTCCTTACCTGACTGTCTCTGTGTCCCTACCTGTATGTGTCCACATTTTAGCTTTGTGTTACGTGTGTGTCTGTGTGTCACAAGTATCCTGCAGACATGATCTCCTTGTGTTTGACAGTGTGTCCATTTTAGATTTCAAGTTAGGTAATATTTGCTTGATACTTTCAGTGATATTTTATGTCTTCAGTATGATTTATATTAGCCTGCAGGTGTGTTTCCGGTGTCTGTCGGCTGGTAAAGCAACAAGCTGCCTCCTTTTGTCTTCTTCACTTTCCTGGATGGTTATGGCTCATGTGCAGCACGTGTTGATTGCTTTACCATAAACTTTACTGTGACAGACTGTGAAATCAGCTTTAGTCCATAAGGTTTACCGCGTTATCTCAGCTGTGAAGCCTAAAATAACTACAGCCCCCTGACTGAACCAGGACTGTTGCTGCTGGATTCTCTGCCAGCTTCTCATCATCCTCCATACTTGTTTTATTTTTACTTCTTTTCCCATGTGAGCATGATAATAAACAAAGTGGGTTAGAGTAATATTTAGCAGCAACGTCAGCATTATTTTTTCAGCAAAAACAAACAATTATCAGTGTTAAAGTTGTGTGTTGTGTTGCACATTTTTATTTATTTATCTTGTTTGATGTGTGTTTAAATTCCTCCTTGTATCTGTGTCTCTGTCTGCCAGGTGTTCTCGGGGATCTTCACAGCAGAGATGGTGTTGAAGATCATCGCTCTGGATCCGTACTACTACTTCCAGACGGGCTGGAACATCTTCGACAGCATCATCGTCTGCCTCAGCCTGATGGAGCTCGGCCTGTCCGACGTCGAGGGGCTCAGTGTCCTACGCTCCTTCAGACTGGTAAGTCACACACACTCTGATTACACTCTGATTACACCTGAAACGCAATAAAAAATCACCTAAATCCTTTTTATACAGAGTGTCTTTGTGTTCTTTTTCATTGGTCCTTAAATCAAGTTTAAAATAAGTATGCACATTTTTACCAACCTTTTACTTTGGAAAGCAGCTAAAGGTTTCTTGGAAACTCTTGAAATTACTTAAAGGTAGTTTGCATAGATATGACCTTTAATATGTGTTGGAGAGACGTTGTCTAATTTTATGTAGAAGCTACCTTGTAAGCTAAATGTAGTAGATTTTTCAACATACATCAACTGGTTAAATAATCTCACCCCTTTAGGATTTATAGATAAAACAGCTTGTTAAGATGCAGAGACAATAACTAAAATATTGGTTGAACAATTGTGATGATCACACTTGGAACAAAAACAAAACTACAAGTAGTAACAAGAAAAGAAAATAATATAAGAGAGAAAAAAGTACACACGCTGACTGGTGTGAGCTGGTTGACTGACAGCTGAAGAGCCAATGAAATGGCAGCAACCTGCGGGACGGTTCACAGTGTGTGATGATTGGCTGTTGATGAGCGATGTCACTCATAACGGAAGTTCAGCTGCGGCCGACTCTGCTGCGCCGGCAAACAAGACGAGGACGGTGGCCGTCAACATTAACCCAAAGCGTGAACACAGAAATCTCACACACATGCACACTCAGGGGAAACACACACGGATCCTTGAAGCATGTCTTTGTCTGTCTGCACCCATCTCTCAAATGTCACTCTGGTTATTGTCAGTTTCTGCCAGAGGCAAACACACAGATACACTTAATGAAAACACATTTACGTTTAGTCTTTCTTTTTTTCCCACCCTTTTTTTGTCCTTCAGCATTTGTTCTGTTTTCTTGTCTCTCTGATGTCGTCCTTCCTTCCTTTCCCTACAGATGTTTCAATACGACTGATAACCAATTTGGTTTTAAACGTCAACACGGTACAGATGTGTATATTTGCCTTAAAGGAAATTTTAGATTACTATAATAGCCAGAATTCCACAACGTTTATGTGTTTTAAAGATGCCTCTAAGGCATTTGATTGGGTAAACCAACCTTTCTCTATGTTGCAACATAGAGAAATTCCAAAAGTAATTATAAGAATCCTAGTTTTGCTATTCACACCGGTCAATGCAGGTGAAATGGGGGGGGCTCTGTATCAGAACCATTTACTGTTGGTAATGGTGTTTAAGGGTGGTATTTTGTCACCTTTCCTTTTTAGCGTGTATATGGATGACTTGTCACAACAATTAAATCAATGTAATACAGGATGTATGATAGGCAATACTCTCACTAATCACCTTATGTATGCAGATGATTTGGTAATCATTTGCCCATATAGTGCTGGGTTACACTGTTGAAGGTTTGCTCTCAGTATGGTGCAGATTTTGATATCAAATACAATGCAAGTAAGAGCAATATCATGATTGTTAGAAGTAAAGAAGACAGGAAATTATTATTCCCTGATTTCTTATCTGGTACAGCCCTTAAAGTGTGTGGTGAGATTAAATATCTTGGTCATCATATTGTAAATGATTTATTGGATGATAAGAACATCAATAGACAGTGTCACAAGATATATGCTCAGGCTAATGTGCTTGCACGTAAATTTGGCATGTGTTCTGCTTATGTTAAGGTAGCCTTATTCAAAGCATTCTGTACACCACTATATACTGACCACTTGTGGCGGTCTTACAGCAAAAAGAACATGCAGAGGCTGAATGTAGTGTATAATGATGGCATGAGACTGCTCCTAAAACAACCAAGATGGTGTAGTGCTAGTCATATTTATTGTTATGTTGTAGCTGTTGTTATTTTGTCTTGTTTTTTCTGTGTGCTATGGACCTTCCATCATTATTATTATTATTATTATTATTATTATTATTAATAGTAGCCTTTACCCAAGTTAACCATACTGCCCATTGGTAGAATTTGTTACCCTTATTGTGAAATTGTGTGTCTCTCTTCCCTTCCAGCTTCGTGTGTTCAAGCTCGCTCGCTCGTGGCCGACGCTCAACACCCTGATCAAGATCATTGGTAACTCCATGGGCGCTCTGGGAAACCTCACGCTTGTCCTCGCCATCATCGTCTTCATCTTCGCTGTAGTCGGCATGCAGCTGTTTGGTAAAAACTACCAGGTAACGCCTCTGACCTCTGACTAAGATACAGGCTTGATGTCACTAAAATTTGTAAATGTAGGTTTGCTACTTCAAGCTGTCTCTTCCCTTCTTCCAGGACTGTGTTTGTAAGATCTCGAAAGACTGCGCTCTTCCTCGGTGGCACATGAAGGACTTTTTCCACTCCTTCCTCATCGTCTTCAGGGTGCTATGCGGCGAGTGGATAGAGACCATGTGGGATTGCATGGAGGTTGCAGGTCAGCCGCTCTGCATCCTGGTCTTCATGCTGGTCATGGTCATCGGGAACCTGGTGGTGAGTGACGTTTGTCCCTTAAATGAATAAATGATATCTGTTCATTGATCAAGCTTAGAGCACAACCTGATCTGCACTTCCCAGACCATCAATACCTCTCTTCCCTCACTGGTAACTGAGGTTGATAAAATATTAATAAGGTTATAGTTAGAGCAGGGTCAAAATCTCCCTACAATGAACCAGCCTCTTAATCCATGAAGGTTTAAATCCTTGACTCGTCAGTAGCGTCTCTGATGATGGTTGTTTATCAAACCTCAACGCTTCTTTGTCCCTAACACAGGATATCAAAAACTGTCCATTACCAAATAATCTTGTTAACTTATTCTTTGATGAGTTAGTTTCTTGTTTCAGTCATAGTTTTTTTTTGCCAGCTGCATTTATTGAGAAAAGGTTCCTCGAAGTAAAGTTTAAATACACAGCCACACTGCTGTGCTTTCGTGGATTAAAATAAGTGCAACCCTTATAAATAACAATATAAAAGGTTGATTTCTTTGTGAATCACATAACATGACGAACTGCAGTCATTTTTCGTCACACTCTAGATATTGCCCTACTCCTGATTGGTTCACAGACTTCAGAAAGATTCAAATCTGCACTTCTACTTATCTCTGATGTGAGCATGAAAACACAAGATGTTACCATTATTGGCAGTAACTGCATTGTCAGAGGGTAAGTGGTTTTCATAGCTACTGAAAAGCACATGTTTAGTGACCTCTGACCCCTGACTTCTCACCTGTAACCCTCTACCTCTGTGCTTTAATGTTGGGCTTTACTTTTCTGACAGCTCTTACAACCATTGTCAGAGACAGGTGGTGAAACATGTGCGATGACACTACAGTAGAGCGAGATAGGAAGATGGATGGATGGAGAGAAAAGAGAGAGAAAGGATATTTTACAAGTGACCCTATGTTTAAACTCTGTCCAGAGAATTGCTGATTTATTTAAATGTTGATCTTCTGACCTCCCATCTCTCTGTCCACCTCCTCCTCTCTCCCTGTTTAACCTCCTCTCTCTACCTCTTTTTTATTTTCTCTCTCCTGTCACTTGCTGTGTACTTCAGTGCATTTCATGTGTGTTTAAACCTCAGCTTCCCCTTTAGTCAGTCACCTGAAGGAGAGAGTCCTGTTTAAAAGAACATATTCTGTTTGATTAGGGATTGTTGGCTTGTTTGCCAGGAGTTGGTTGGAGTCATGTGGACTGTTCAGAATGTGTTGAACAGGGGCTGGAGGTATGAGATGTTGGTGAAGAAGGAATCCTATATCTTATATTGCAATGTCTGCATGTCCGTCCATCCCACACTTCAGTCCAGAGTGAGATATCACAATGACTACTGTTCTGGCCAGATTTCCACTAAATTCAGTGTAAATATCCCTGGTTCCTTGTGGATAACCTCCTGACCTTTTCTTTAATACCATATTTTAATGACACCATGAGCTTCCCTCTAGAGCTGCTGAATACTCGGTATGCTGTTTGAATGTGGACCTATTCATCATTCTGGTTATTTTAAGCTCAGCCTAACAACCACAAGCAACGAGTGTTTTTGATATCAAGTGTCGGTCGCTCACTGTCAGGTAACTGGAAAGCATGACCGTCTCTGTGGTGTTTTCTTCATGTAGAACAACACCTAGACGCACACGCTCAGATACACACACGTATACACACACACTAATGCAGAGAGCGCTCATCTTGCCAGATAAAAAAAAAAAAGGAGAGGAAAGATTTCCTTTCTTTGAACTATCTGTCGTCTCATCTTACGTTGAAGCCCCAGACACACAAACACACTGTTCTTTATAGCTCGTTTTACCTGCCTTGCTATAAAATGTACCCCCCTACCAGCATGAACACGTCACATGTCTACACCTCTAAACACATCAATCAGTCCGTCTGTGTGTGTGTCCTAATCTGAGGGACTTAGAGCAGACGGTAACTGGAGAAGAGAAAGTACTGTTATCTGATGGTCAACACATGCAACGCAAGAGGTTCTGCGATGCGCAGGAGGTTTGGCCTGGGACCAAACACAGTTTCCCTTAAAGTGAAGTTGTCCAAATGTGACATGATAAACAGATTATTATTATTATCATAAAAGAAAAGTGCAGTGCAGCCACTGTCAGCACTATATGAAAAACATAAGACATGCACCTAGAGGCTGAATCTTTTATGTGAGCAAGGATGGAAAGAGTCAAATAATCGAGAAGCGAAGGACAGAATGAGAAAAATTACAAGAAGACAGGAGGGTTGCAGTATACTTTACTCCCTCTTGTTCTTCTTCTTGACTTTCTGTTCTTATTTTTACTCTTCCTTTTCTTTTTCTAGTCATTTTTAGTTTTTATAAAGAATCTCATATTCACCAGCCAGTGGATCATGATGTGTGTGTGTGTGTGTGTGTGTGTGTGTGTGTGCACGAGCAGTAATAATCAGAGTCTCATTCATCTATTTAGCTTAATGGTCTCATGGATATTTAATAACGAGCTTGATAGGCCAGACAGCTTACACACACACACACACACACACACACACAGTCAACAGCCTCTTATTCTTCTCTTGTCAGTAGCAGGAATTGTATCTCACCCTGCAGAGGGATATGCTGACCTGACTGAATGAATATGCCCAAACACGCTTGTGTGTGTGTGTGTGTCATGATGACCGAACCTTTCCAATTCAAGTGATTTATCCCTTTAGAAATGGCCTCATTGTGCACAGCTCGGCTCAGCCTGTCTGTGTGTGTGTGTGTGTGTGTGTGTGTGTGTGTTTGTGGAGGCATTTATGCATGCATGCATTCATATGTGTGAGGGAGTGTGTATGATTGTGTTTGTTATGAGATGTCAAGTGTCGCACCTCGTAATGAGCCGAGGGGAAGGAGAAAGAAAGGGAAGGGCACGAAGGAAGAACACAAAGTACAATGGAAGAATGGCTGGACAAGGAAAAAGGGAGTATTGGAAACAGCATGGAAGGATACTCGCATAGCGGGATGATAGGACAGATAGAAAGTTAGAAGGAAGGAGGAAAGTGAAGGTACTAAAGGAGGAATGGAAGGATACCTGGATAAATTGAAGAAAAGAACGGAGAACAGAAGGAAAGAAGTAGTGATATACTGATTAATGGGTTGGCCAAATCTGCAGCAGCCTCGTCAGCGAGCTGCTGTGGAACGATGTCAGCGCTCCCCCTTGTGAGTTTTGGGAAAAAGTTAGTTTGGAGCCCTAAATGTCCTCAGTCATTATCATGTTAACATGTTTCTCCTAAATGATAGTAGATCTCATCTAACAGCATTACATGCTAGTGTTGAGTATATCGTTATACTGTAGAGAAAACAGCTGAATGATGTCACTTCAGACAATCTTTACCGCACTCTCCCTTAACCACCAGTCACACTGAAATCTACAGCAGGACCCAATGTGTTTTTCTATTTCATTCATTTAACACTGGCTGAGATAACATGTATATTAGATATCAGCAATATACACTGAACAAAATTATAAACGCAGCACTTTTGTTTTTGCCCCCATTCATCATGAGCTGAACTCAAAGATCTAAGACTTTCTCTGTGTACACAAAAGGGCTATTTCTCTCAAATATTGTTCACAAATGTGTAAAAATAATAATCCATCCACCTCACAGGTGTGGCATATCAAGATGCTGATCAGAAAGCATGGGTAATGCACAGGTGTGCCTTAGGCTGGCCACAGTAAAAGGCCTTAGGCTGGCCACAACAAAAGGCCACTCCAAAATGTACAGTTCCATCACACAGCACAATGCCACAGATGTCGCAAGTTTTGAGGGAGCGTGCAAATGGCATGCTGACTGGAGGAATGTCCACCAGAGCTGTTGACTGTGAATTGAATGTTCATTTCTCCGCCATAAGCCGTCTCCAAAGGCGTTTCAGAGAATTTGGCAGTTGAGTCCAACCGGCCTCACAACCGTAGACCACGTGTAACCACACCAGCCCAGGACCTCCACATCCAGCGTCTTCATCTCCAAGATCAGATTTCTGCACAAACTGTCAGGAAGCGTCTCAGGGAAGCTCATCTGCATGCTCGTCGTCCTCACTGAGGTCTCGACCTGACTGCAGTTTGTCATCGGAACCGACTTGAGCGGGCAAATTCTCTCATTCGATGGCGTCTGGCACTTTAGAGAGCTGTTCTCTTCTTGTCAACGTTGTGGGTCGTTATAAGCAGGCGTATAAGGTATAAGCAGGTGTGTGTTATGGACAACAAACACAGGTGCATTTTATTGATGGCATTTTGAGATATCGTGACGAGATCTTGAGGCCCATTGTCGTGCCATTAATCCATGAACATCACCTCATGTTGCAGCATGATGCCCATGTTGAAAGGATCTGTACGCAATTCCTGGAAGCTGAAAACATCCCAATTCTTGCATGGCCAGCATACTCACCATTGAGCATGTTTGGGATGCTCTGGATCGGTGTATACGACAGCGTGTTTCAGGTCCTGCCAATATCCAGCAACTTCACACAGCCACTGAAGGAGAGTGGACCAACGTTCCACGGACCACAATGAATAATCTGATCAACTCTATGCGGAAGAGATGTGTTGCACTGCGTGAGGCAAATGGTGGTCACACCAGATGCTGACAGGTTTCCGGACTCCCCCAATACAGTGAAACTGCACATTTTCGAGTGGCCTTTTATTGTGGCCAGCCTAATGCACACCTGTGCAATACCCATGCTGTCTGATCAGCATCTTGATATGCCATATGTGAGGTGGATGGATTATCTCGGCAAAGGAGAAGTGCTCACTAACACGGATTTTGACAGATTTGTGAACAATATTTCAGAGAATTTGAATCTTTGAGTTCAGCTCCTGATGAATGGGGGCAAAAACAAAAGTGTTGTGTTTATAATTTTGTTCAGTGTATATACCCTGCTCTCTAATATTGGCATTATCCATTGAAAAACCTGTATCGGTTGACCACTAGAAAGAAGGAAGAGCAAGGAAGGAAAGATGATTTTTGAAAAGATCATTGGGACTTTGCTCCCATCA